CTCTTTTCTCTCTTGGTCTATTTGTGTAGGTGCTTCACACTTTCTTCAATGCTTATGACCCGAGAGAAGGCAAGAAAGTTCAATAGAAGAAGCTTGAAGCTAAGAACGAAGCGAAGAAGTTGAGCAATTGTAGCACTTAAGGCAAGAACCCTCCGAGCACCCCGAGCATCACCTCAAGCAGCTGAAGTTAGCAACAAAGAGCAGCACAGCCAGCAGCTCGGCAGCCCAGGCCGCCACGGGCGCGGCTGTAGAAATTGATATGGCTCTTAAGGGAAATGATAATACAAAAGCTTCTAGTATTGATGGCTTTAACTCCTTTTCTTTAAGAAAACTTGGAGCATTGTGAAGAATGATGTATATGAAGGTGATTTGGAGTTTTTTTAGCACTAGTAAATTGTTAAAGCAATGGAACTGCACTACAATTACTTTAGTTCCTAAGGTGCAAAATCCTTCATATGCTAGGGAATTTAGGCCCATTGCTTGTTGTACAGTGCTTTATAAGTTTTTTTCTAAAATTTTACCAGCAAAGCTTGCTTTAGTTCTCCATGAGATTATTGATGATTCTCAAGCTGGGTTTATCCCTGGTAAGCATATTGGGGATAATATCCTTCTTGCATCAGAATTGATTAAGGGATACGGTCATAAGCATATCACCCCTAGATGCATGCTGAAAATTGACTTAAAAAAGGCATATGACTTAGTTGAATGGGGTTTCCTAGAATCTGTTATGGCTGAACTCAGCTTTCCTAGTCAATTTATTGCTTAGATTATGGGATGTATTTCTACTATTTCCTTTTCAATTATGGTTAATGGTGCTCCTACTATGCCTTTTTCAACCAAAGAAGGACCTTAGACAGGGAGATCCTATGTCACCCTTCCTCTTTGCAATTGGAGTGGAGTGCCCTCTAGATGTTTATTTAAGCTGCACCAGAACCCTGACTTTAACTATCATCCTAGATGTGAGAAAATGAAATTAACTCACCTCATGTTTGCTGATGATCTTCTGATGTTTTCTAGGGCAGATGCTGGTTTTGTTTCTCTTTTTTTCCAGGCTTTCACTAAGTTCTCTGAAGCTTAAGGGCTTTCTGCTAATCCGGATAAGAGTGAAGTCTACTTTGGAGGTCTCTCTGATGATGAGCAAGCTACTCTCAAGGCCTTGATTGGGGTTGCTCCTGGATCAATCCCCTTTATATATCTTCGAGTTCCTCTTTCTTCTAAGAAGTTAACTACTGCTCAATGCAAACCTTTGATTGACAAAGTGACTGCCAGGATTAATGGGTGGAATGCAAGAAATCTGTCTTATGCTAGTAGGTTGTAGCTTATTAAAAGTGTTCTTTTTGGTGTTCCAACCTATTGGGCTCACATTTTTGTTCTCCCTAAGAAGATTTTGAAGGAAATTGAATCCAAATTTAGGGTGTTTCCGTGGACTGGGAAAGCTAACCCTTATAAGAAATCCCTGGTGTCTTGGTCCCAAGTTTGTCTTCCTAAAGTGAGTGGTGGTTGGAGTTTGATTTCTCTTCCTGAATGGAATCTTGCAGCTATCACAAAACTTCTCTGGGATCTGGCTCACAAGCTGACAGTCTTTGGGTGAAATGGGTTCATATTTACTATTTTAAGGATAAGCCTTGGTGGGGCATGTCTGCTCCTAAGAAGTGCTCCTGGGTGCTTACAAAAATCCTGAAGTGTAGAGCTATAATTGATGGTATTGGTAATTGGGGTACTGTAGTGCAAGTAAGGTCAAGATTAAGAAAATATACCAGGCCATCACTACTTAGGCTTCTAAGGTTCCCTAGAGAAGGATCATTTGCAATAATCTTGCTTCTCCAAAGAGTCTATTCATTACTTGGCTTGCAGTTAGGAACAGACTTGTGACTAAAGATAGGCTTCAAAAGTGGAATATACAATGTGACCCTGTCTGCTTTCTCTGCAATCAGAACTTGGAAATTGTTCAACATCTGTTCTTTAACTGTGCTTATAGTAAAAATGTGTGGATGCAAGTTCTCAAGCTGTTTGGTTATCAGAGACCTATTGGTCAGTTTGATGCTAAAATTATCATATAAAACATGCTATTCAAACCAATCACTTTTGAAGGTATCTAGCCACCTAAACGTACCTTTATTCCGAATCTCAATCAACATTTCGCACTTTCAAAGTTCAATCACGAATACACCTTGCAATTAACATAACCATAAGGTTATCACAACATCTTTAAACATAAACCCAAATCTAATGTTCATGGAGTATAAAACTCTTTTTAAAAATAATACTTTAATATAAAATAAGTATTTATATTTTAGAAAAATAACCATGAAGAAAATAAGGGAATAGGATTAAAGAGAATTGAATTTGTGTTGGAAAGAATAGGGAGAACTTGCAGAGGCCATAACTCCTTCGATATAACCCCGAATTGGGTGATTCATGAACCTAACCTCAAGGATTTTTCAAGAGGAACAATTTTTTGTGAAATAGAAAAACCCCAAAACCAATACGAAGTACCCGAAAATTAGCTTCTAATGTATACGGGCTGATTATGTATGAAAAGAGTAGAAAGAAAAGTATGAAAAGGTTTAGGGAAAAGAAGAATAAGAGAGAAGAAGAGAATTGGGTTTTGGTGTGAAGAATATGAGGGGGTATTTATAGGCTAGCTCATGCAAGAATTATGGTAGGAGAATGTAGGAAGAATTATGGTAAATGCTTTAAGGAAATTACTTGTAGGCGAAAACACGTAATCCGCACCGATTCAAAACCCCCATTTAGCACCGGTTTTGAACCGGTCCTGATTTGAGGGGGTGCTAAAACCCTAGACATTTCGCACCGGTTCAAAACCGGTGCGAAATCAGACTTTTGGCACCGGTTCTGGATGAAAACCGGTGCTAAATACAGGCGGTACATAAACTGGCCGTGGATCCGAAAAAGAAGCCGGTACGACAGAAGAAGCGGAACCATGGCGAAGAAAGAAGTCAGGCGGCAGCCACCGAAGTTAAAAAATTACTTGATGCAGGGTTCATTCGGCAATGTTACTTCCCAGACTGGGTTGCAAATGTGGTGCTTGTTAAAAAGCCGAATGGCATCTGGCGAATGTGTGTAGACTACACAGACTTAAACAAGGCGTGCCCCAAAGACAGTTACCCTCTGCCTAAAATTGATAACCTGGTCGACTCAACAGCCGGCCATGCTTTGATGAGCTTTATGGACGCCTACTCTGGTTTCCATCAAATTCCTTTATGGGAGAAAGATCGGGAGAAGACGGCTTTCGTCGCTGATCAGGGGTTATACTGTTACACGGTCATGCCGTTTGGTCTTAAGAATGCCCCGGCCACTTTCCAGCGAATGATAAACACACACTTTTCGCACCGGTTTTGTGTTAGAACCGGTGCCAAAAGTCCCCAAAAAGAATTTTTTAAAAAACTTTTAGCACCGGTTCTTTCCAAAACCGGTGCCAAAAATGCCCAAAAAAAATAAAAAAATTAAAGAAATTTTTTTGCTTTTTTCACTTAAATTGATATATAAACACTAACATATATATAAAATTACATATTTTCATTAAAAAAAAGACGTAATATTACAATTTTCGTCCAATAAAATAAAATAAAATCTGTTTGTTTTTCTCTTGTGGTGTTGCTGTTGTACTGTTGCTGCTGCTTTGGTTATGCTGCTGGTTGTGTGCTGCTGCTGCCATTGCTGGTTTGTACTTCTGCCTGAATCAACATGCAGAACCACGAAAAAGAATCAGAACAAACACACTACATATGTAGGAGTAAATTACAGTAGGGTACACTTACAGCAGCTGATTGTCTGTTTAAGTAGTAGCACTTTCAGTAGTAGCTGATTGTCTGTTTAAGTGTGAAACCCCAAACATTCTCTGCAGAATGGCCAGGAAACTTAGTCAACTTAGTGAGCTATGAAAAATCAATGCAGAAATGTGGATACAACATGCAACTACACAAATATAAAATTATAAGAGAAAAAGTAGAAATTCAACACTATGTTTAGTTAAAGCACAACCACATACCGGAAAGAAATCAGCCTCATATGCTGCCCAGAAACATATCACCGTCATCATTGCCAAGAACTGCCAATGACAATTCCAGTGGCAAAAATCTCAGAGAGCTTCCAGCAGCTGTCTGGCATAGGAGATGGCTTCACCCTATCCTTCGATATGGTCATAATGGTACCTGAAGGCCAAAATCTTAGTCAATCAGCAAGAAAAAGCACGCCACATATATTTGAGAAGCTCTTCAATGGAACAAGTGATTTTAGGAATAAGGTATATACAAAACTTCCACATAAAAGGATCAGTTTCCAAGTCATCAAAGTTGCTTTTGGAACAATTTTCCATAGTAATCATTCCTTCCTCTGATAAGGAAAATAGAGTATTCATCTGTAATTCTGTAATACTGGAGAGGTGGGAATTAAATGTCAGTTTTTCTTTAACAGATGCGCAGGGGTAGGGTATTGCTTTCCTTTTTCCTCAAACCACCCAAGATAATAGATTACAAAATGCACAGTTATAGCACAAATGAGAAACAAAATCCCATAAAGAAATGAAAGAGGGTTCGGCAACTAAACTAAAGGTGGGGGGGACAAGTACATTATACAGCTGACTTTAGGGTGTCTGTCTTTCTTGCGAGCCAAAGATATTTCCAGTTCATACCAAATCTCAAGCCTCATTTTCCAAGTGGCTTTATCAATAAGACAAATTTCTCACCCACATTTTTCATAATCTTTCTTTCATTTTTGTAACTAAAAAAACAAGAATAAAGTACTAAAAACCTGAAATTCAGGCCACTTGGAACAGATAATAATTTAATAATGAATCTTTTGGTCACATGAAATGAGAATCAAGTCTTGTAAGATTGATTAGCTTCATTTTATAATACTAGTTAAAGTTAGCTAGATCATTTCCAAGATGCAAGCGAATCACAGAAACCCGATAAGTCATTATAAATTTAGTGCTGATCATGTGCATGAACATAGACATGAAAAGGCAGAAACAGGATTTAGTCACTACTAGACTTGTTCAGCTTAAAGGAATTAAGTTCGGCAAGCTTGCAACATTGAGCTGTAATGCTGTATTGTACTTTTCTAATGGTGAATGGCCTGTTTCCTGGTTCACCACCAACCTGGAGACAGACTGAAATAAACCCAACAGATCTCAACATACAACTGACAACAAGGGCCGTCTTGGCAGTTCTCTGAATCTAAAGTGTCATTTTCAAGGTGACATGCAGGATGATCACAATAAATTTTTCACTCAAAGATCACAAACGATTCTGACATCGACATTGATCGGCTTTCTGCAATCTATAATAAAACGCAAACTTGGATCCACATATAAAACAACCATACTTTTATTAACAACCATTGATAAACTCTGTTATCCCCTCCCTAGGAGCAATACATATATGTAGCACAGTTATTGAGCCATTCTAGTTCTAGAGCATACATAAAGTTAATACGATATATAAACACCATCACCCTAACAAAGAATTCATATAACATGAGTTCATAGTAGGATGCAGTCACCACTAGTTCTGAGGTTTACCTAAAATGCAGCAGCCATTTCACCTGTACGAGTATGGACATTCCAGGACACTTTTGAAGCATCATCTGACTTTCCAGAGTCGAGAGCAACAACAGAAAATATTGCACGGAAAGCACCACAGACTATGGCAGGAGTGGTACAGTTGGTATTGTGAGAGACTCTGACTATTTTGTGCAATCCCAACCTCATCCCATCCACAGGACATGAGGACTCCACATTACATGCCTCTGCTATCACACGATTCAGAGTTTTTGAATAAATATCCATATCATTTAGAAGATACCTAAAGGACACAAATGTTTCTATGATGCTCGTGCCTAGAATGCTTAGTGCTCGGTTGTTCTCCTCAGAAAATGAAGCATGGGTCATTGCACGTCGAAGAAGATCAATGCGATGAAAAGTATAGCTGAAATAAAAGAATTCAACCACTATAACTATTCCATGAACAATATGGAACTAATCATATAGAAAGAAAACTCAAATGACAACAGAGTACACATTTTTGAGCTAGCATACAATTATTGATGATTGAGGGTTCATCCCATCAGTTTCTTATCAATCATCACATATTCTCTTCTCAATTCAAAAAACCTTACACTGACAAGCTCAGATTGTTTCTAGAAAAAACAAGACTACTTTAATTAAAACATACGACTATATCACAAGAAAGGTTTCGAGTACCTTCAAAGCTTTTAAGAACTTGGAAGTGCCACTCTGTGCAATAGTTCCCAAACAATCAACAAGCTCCTCTTTTGTCATTCTAATTACCAGTATCCTTAAAGATTGAGATACATACAAACTCAGAATTCGATAATTAATGAAATTACAGCATATCGACGGAATGAATGCATACCTAATCGTGATGGTCCCATTATCTGGATCAGGTTTGATGCGTATTTCAAGCTCCCCTGCTTCCCCGAGTAGAGAGGGATCGGTCACACTTGAAAATCTTATCATTTCCTAGCTTCCATAATTGCTGATTTCTGCATATTTGGAGTAGTTTCACCTAGAGGAAAAAATTCAGGAAAAAAAAAAACAAAACAATTGTATCAAGCAATTACGTAGACATTGCTGTCAATATCAGGATCAAAATCTTGCAAAGCAATTTACCAAAAGTTCCATTGTTGTCCACTACACGAGACCTGACAAGTTTTATCAATTCATTTGCTTCTTTCCTGGTCAGAGAAAACATCAACTGACATGAACATACAACTCCAAATTGAACTATAGCATATTAGATGGTATAACTATCATCACAGAATTAAATGTTGAGTAAACTGATAAAAAGATATGAAGTCGACCATATCTGCTGTAAGTGCCAGACAGCAAAATGGGGAATAAGTTGATTCAGTTAATTGTTGCCTGAAGTGAATTGTTGATTCCAAATTTTCTGCCTCTTTCTCCTTTCTCCCCTCACTCTATTTATACTAATTCTAAAGACTATTAACCTGATAATACATTGGAATCAGTTATTTATACCCTTATGGCTAGCTAAATTAGCTCATAGGATGGAGCTGGCAACTATTCAATTTTCTGGGAAGCTATTTGGAAGACGAGCAAGAAGAGCAATGAATTGAAGAGAACGGTGAACTGATATATAAAGAGGTGTGAATATTCATAATCATGAGTTTCCAAGCAATTAAATTTACTTTCTAATGCAAGAAGAAGTATCATCATAATTTCAAACTATTTGTTCATTTAAGATTTTTAAAAGTAATTGAAATTTTGATCATTTGCCATTACTGCAGGCAACAATACCTTGCCAAACCGGATAATGAGAGAAGCTATCCCAGGATGCATATGCTCGTATATTTATCACTGCAAAAGATCATGTAATAGATTAGCTCAAATGATTATATTTTTATATTGTATACGAAGTACTCTATATAAAGTAAGGAAAAATAAAAGTTAGAGGGACCTTCTAGCCAGGGATTAACCAAACTTAAAGCTGAGCATGACTTTGTGTAACGTTTAAAGCTTGTATAGATGTATGATATAGGGTATACTATTGCTTACGAAGGATGAATTACCATAAAAACGAGATATCGAAGGAAGAAATACCATGAAGGAAATCTAATCCATACAAGAATCAAGTACTAATTTATCTAAAGCTTTTCCTGATTAGAGATGGCAATAGCCATAGAGGGTATACTACTACTTACCGAGTTAGCAAAGATACTTTTAGAAGATATTAAAACGATACAATAGTCTTTAGTATATGCATTTCGGCTGTCAAAATTTGTTCAGAATAACTATATGCATGAAAAAATTTAGTAATCATGCAAATGCAGAAGGGGATTCTTCTTTTTCAGAAAAAAGGTCTAACTACCAAGAGCATTATTCACATGAATATTGTTATAACTTTTTAGCTCCAAATCAATTTTGAGAGAAGAAAAAATAGAGCACATTGAAGTTTATGAAACCATATTAATGGTAATCTGGGCTTCAAGCCTTCAACACAGTGAGCTCTTGTGCAATTTACCTTTGGAAAGCCTAACTATGGTTAATCTTTGTGCTGCACAAGTAGCATTGAGTGTGGCAGTAGTCACTTCTTCCTCTAAACCCTTACCATCACAAATGCTTTAACTTTGTTTTTGAAGACTATCTTTCTCACATAATTCTTCTAAGCTCAGTAAACTCTTAAATATCTTGATCTAATACGAAACAATCTTGTTACAACTCTTACAAGCAACTTTGAAATTAGTTTAATAAGAACAAACTTTCTACCTAACATAAATTCTTGAAATTAGTTACACCACAACAGCTTTGCACAATTGCATCTCATTCCTTGCAATTTTATCCAATATTACACCACAACAGCTTTGCACAATTTCATCTCATTTCTTGCAATTTTACCAAGATCAGCACATTCTCATTTAGATGCCATATAAGATTGAGAAACTACATAAATCGGAGTACTAATCAGTTTTTGTATTTCGCACTTAATTAGTTCAAAAGACCTTGATCTGTTTGATTAATACTGTAATTCTATCATAATATCAGTATCATATATAGAAGTATTCAGTTTCGCAAAATTTTATTACAACAAATCAAATAACGTCCAAAGTTTTAGCACAAACTACAAGTAAAAGGACCTCAATGCAATAGGGACAACAACAGCAATATTTGAAGCTAATATCTTCAGTTTCCTATCTTTGAAATATCCCTGCCAAAAACTAGAGTGGTTGCCCAGTTTACAGCAACATAGAATCTGTTTCTCCAGCTAAGTACACGCGTTAGATATGCTGAGCGCCAAATCAGAAAGCTGAGGAACCCAGCAATGGAGAACCATCAAGTTCATAAACAAATGCCCAAACGAGAACCATCAAGTTCATAAACAACAGCAACAATCAAAACCCTAAAACAATTTACTATTGTTGAATGCACAACTCGAAATTAAAGTCACAACAGCAAACCACAAAGAACAGAAAACCCTAAATCAACGACTAACCCTAGATTGCAAAGGAATTCAATAGATTAGGAAGACCACGAAATAAATCTTACCTCGAAGCTGCTACAATAGAGTTGGAAAGCTCAGAATGCGCTTCAATGGAGGTGAGAAAGCTCAGCAGAATGCGCTTCAATGGAGGAGAGCTATGGAGAGAAAGAGACGAGTTGCGGCAATGGAGGTGAGAAAGCCCAGAATGCGCTTCGATGGAGGACGTATAGCTATAGGGAAGGTAGGCGACAACGAGGGGGGTGCGAATTGAATGTGGAAAAGCTAGAAGGGGAATGAAAACTGAATTGAAGGAAGAAGAAGATCGAATTTCACGATTAAGTGGTTTTTTTGTTTAATTTACAGCACCGGTTCGAAACCGGTTGTAAATGAATTTTCCCACCGGTTTGGTCTGAACCGATGCGAAATCCTTCTTTCCCTCTTTTTTTTTTTTAATAAAAACATTTAGCACCGATTCAAACCGGTGCGAAAACCAAGATTTAGAACCGGTTTATAAGGAACCGGTGCGAAAAGTAATTATCCAAATCCCGCCCAATTTTTTTTTCCACCGGTTTTTAAGAACCGGTGCGAAAGGGGTGTCTTTTTCATTTTTTCTACTAGTAAAAGAGTTAAAGAATTATGGAAAGTCTAGGTTATGGTGATTAATTAATGAAGAAATAAGGTAAGTATGTAGTCATGAAATATTAAATGGTAAATGACTTTGCTTGGGGCATAATCAAGAATGATTTAAGGTAGGGAAATAAGATGATCAAATATTTAGGAGATGAAAAATAAGAATTAAGAAAAATAATAGAATTGAGGAAGATAATTAAAATACAAAAATTACCAAATTAATTTTGCTCAAAATACAATATAGTGACCAAAAATTTGAGCTTTCCTAAGCTCATATTTTCGGACCTCCCTTTAAATATTAAGGCAATTATTTTGCTAGTTTTTAAAGAATAAAATGATTGCGTAAATAATATATTTTGTATAAAATAAGTAATTAAGAAAATAACAATTATTCACTAAATAAATTAACTAAGAAAATCATATTTTCTACACTTAGAAAATCCGAAAATCATAGCTTATTATTTAGGAAATTCGAACTTCTTAATTTAAATAATTAAAATATAATTTTGTTTAATTAAAATATCCGAAATATATATATATATATATATTTTTCGGTTTTTATTAAATAATATATGGATAATAAATCTTATCCAAAATCCAAAATAATAATTGAGTTTTAAAATGTTGTTGGCGCCAAAATTCAAATATCATTTTGGCTCCAAAATTCAAATAAAAATAAATTACTAAAATACCCTTTTTAGAAAATATTAATTAATTAACTTGAAAATACATCTCAAAAATACGGGGTATTACATAGAGCTCCATATTTAATGTAACATCTCTTCATTCTGTTGTATCAATGTCATTTGGGAGGTATACATATGATTATACGAGAGCATATATGAATATATGTAACAATTTTTTTTTTAAGCAAACTATTTTTGTGTAAATATAATATAAAATTGAATGCAACTTTCTTATGAGTTTTTGAATCGAGTAATAAATTACTCGACTAACAGTTTGAGTCGAGCATACGCAGGTCGAGTTTTGACCAAATAAACACATTTTGTAATTTGAGCAAACCCTTGGCTAACTCGATTTGAGTTGGGATTTAATCAAGGTTAGACGAATATTGTTTCAACAACTTGAATGTATTAGTTCATTAGTGGGACCAACATGCACCTACATGTTGCCTATATAAATGATTGCTACGTAAGTAGTTAGCCCTTCACCACACAACCATCTCCCCACTTTTGAATCCTTTTTTTTTTTCTTCTAAGATCCATTGAAATGCCTAGTTTACCACCCTTTTCAATTGGTTACCACCTACAAATTGCTCCAGGCACTACATATTTCTGGGCCAGGGAGAAGAAATCTGGTCCGAAAATCAATTTTAACAACTATGTTTTATTTCTATAGTGAAAATGGTTGTATTTCACCTAACGAGGTAGATTTATCTGATTTGTGTTGCGGAATGCAATTGCAAATCTTGATAAGGTCATGCTGGCCAGGATGGATAAGCTGATGATGCTAGATGAGTCTGGGAAGGTCGTTCCCGCTCATTTGCCAAACACTGGCGATGTCGTAGTCCTCCCGGAGATACAAAGAGTCATCCCGTAGATAGAATTCGAACCCACCGAGTATGAAGGGGTGAACAAGCTCAGTCCTAAGTTTTTGGTTGATTTAATCGACCCAAAGCCTGTCATATCTCGTAAGGGTCCAATTTACTCCCTTACTTGTACAGCATACAACACGGAAGATGGATGCTTAAGTGATGCATTCCAGATTCTAAATGCTCGTGCCGATGTGACGAACGTTGCGTTCATGGTGTTCCGCGCCGAAATTATAGATACGAACCCATTAAGCCGCTACCATGTCATCCTGGTGACTCTAGAAAATGAATCACGTATGCCGCTTATAGAGAGGGGTACAAGTATAATTTTGTGAAATGCTAAGCGCATTACACACCCATTATTTGAGATTGATTTCAATTGGGCTGTTCAAATGCATAACCCAATGCTTGTCATTATAACGGAAGCTCGAGTGTGGAAAATTACATGTGAGCGGATGATGTAGAAACTCAAGACTGCTATGTCGTGGAAAGTGAAAGAGACCAAAACCCTTGGTGGTGGGACTATTATCATGTGGGATGCTAAAAGGGTTCAAGCTGAAATGCTTGTATCAGACTCTCCAAATCATGAGCTTCGCGTTTTAGGTCGTGTTGGGGCAATAAAGGTATCGAGTATCTTTCATATCGTTTGTGTTTATGTCTTGATATTTTATTTTTCACACAAGTCTTGATTTAATATAATATTATGTTTTAATTTGATTCAAAATATTATAACATGTTTATGATAATTAAATAATGTAGCATGAAGCTGCTGGGCCAAGTTCAAGGAAGGGGTGAAGAATCAAATGGTTGATAACAACTAAGATGTATCAAGTGATGATGCCTGCTTGATGATTGCTTAATAGTAGTCAGTATTAGAATAAATAGTTGTTTAATTACTAAGTGATAAATGTTTATGTTCAACAAGTACTACGTGTTTAAGTACTACATGATAAATGTTTATGTTTTAAATTATAAGTTGTTTTTATATGTGAACAAATGTACGCCAAACCTAATGTGTTAATTGGATACAAATATTATGTTTTAAGTTTGTATTCTATGGTTTGGTGACATATATTAATGTATGTTTAATGTTTCCTTTTTTGTCCAGAGTCACATTGAACTATTAAAGCTTAGTGAGCCAAACAACTAAATTAAATTGTGAAGCAAACAACAAAATAGTTTATCATCTTGATATTATTTATCAACGAAAAACGACTATTTAACTAATAAATATTTTAGCTACACGTTTGAATGACACTTTAAATGGATTTAATTCAAATTCCTATGTTGTTTGTACATCACAATTGTTTTGAAATGTGAATAAACCACTAATGAATACAAACATAAAATAGAACTTTGAAAAATAAAAAGTAAGAAATATCTTGTTGAGCAGACACGTAATTTTAAACAAATTCAAACATAATACATGATTATTTGTAAGTATGAAGTAAACAGTGTTTTTTAGTGCAGCATAATATTTTTTTTGCGGTGTTTTAACCAAATGATATCGAAAGTTAATCACCAAATTTCATCAAGCTTGTTGATAAATAACAATTGCACATAATTAATATAATGTGTCATCATTTTGTTGGTTCTTTTCGATAATTTACTCAAATATCACAATATGAATTAGATATCACGAAGTATTAGGGGCGCAATTAAGAATAATAATTTCATATATACTTCACTTTGTTCGCTTCAAACCTCATTTATCAGTGTTATGATTATACCTTTTTATTTTTATCAATGTTTTATGTTTTATCGTTTTATGTTTTATCGAAAAAGGACTTTAATTAAATAGATTTTTTACCTCTCCCTTTTTTGGATATTTCCAAAACTTAGAGAGAGACATCCGTTTTTTAGAGAGATAAACTCTGCCAACCGCCTGTATACCTTGCAAGCAGTTGCTTTCATTTCACTACTCACAGCCGGTACACCGTCTGGGTAGTTTGCAAACAGTTATTCTTTTTCCAAGGGGTAAATCCGGTTATCTCTTCTTTAGAACCGCCTGTGTACCCTTCAAGCAAGCTTTGGCATTTCAAGCGGGTACAACCGGTCCCCCACCTGGGCATCTTGCAAGCTATTATTCAGTTTCCGCCTGTTAGTTCAGCCGGTCACCGCTAGACTACTTCGCAGCTCATCTCATAGGTACCACTTCACCTCTTCTCAACCCTTTTAAATATTTCCGTTTGTGTACATTTTGCTCCATTAATGGATTCACCAATAGCACACACGGCACAACATAGTTTAGAGGGCAGTCGATCCCCTGGTACAGCTGAGTCTAGAACCAGGGGAGCCGCCTCTGGGTGCCTGGATCACTCTTGCTCATCTCCCAATCCGACCGTCTCCATGTCTGTGCAGGACAGTATGGCCACGACTAGGAAGACGGCTATAGATCCGGAGTATAGGGAGGAGAGCACCAAAGAAAAGCCGCCTAAGGGAGATCAGGCTGAGATGGAGATCCTCCATGGGCACACCCAGCACACCCAGTGATGGGATTCTAGAGTCCAAAAATGGAGACGGGGGAGAGGCCGCCTCCATATCTGGTCAGGAGGAGGCGGATGGGAGTGCCTTTGAGAGAGGAGGGAGTGAATCCGCCTCTAGGTCTGGCTCTGTAGCCTCAAGCAGCTCTCTAACTCTAGATGTGGATAGTGAGGAAAAAGAGAGGCCAACATGGAATAATAAAGGGGATCCACTTCAAATCCATATTTTAGCCAAAGATAGGGCAAATATGGAGAGGCACCTAGAGACGGTTAAACTCAAGCGTCCTCTGGGTACGGGATATACCATCCGGGTGTCGCCTGAGTTGGGGACCATAGCCTGGAATGCCGACCAGCAAGGCGCCAATAAATGCTTCGGCTGCTATGAGGCGGCATTTTTGGCTGGGCTTCGCTTCCCCCTTCATAATGCAATAAAGGCTATCCTTAGAGGGTATGGCCTAGCGTGTGGCAGTTAACCCCAAACTCCTGGGTTAACATTTTGGGCTACATCGCCGCCTGCGAGATGCAGGGTCTTCATCCCGGCTGGGGGGCCTTTGCCAAGATGCACTATCTAAGCCAAAGTCCAGGCGGGTGGAGGGCAT